GTTTTATTTTTTATTTTATTTATTTATTTTGTTTTTTTAAGACAAGGTTTTTCCAGATAGCCCTGGATATCCTGAAACTCACACTGTAGACCAGGGTGGCCTGGAGGTCTTCCCGAATCTCTATCTTTAGTGCTGGGATTAAAGGCGTGTGTCACCACCACCTAGCATGTTTTATCCATCTATCTATCTGTCTATCTCTATCTATCTATCTATCTATCTATCTATCTATCTATCTATCTATCTATCTATCTATCTTCACCCTGTATAACATTCATACAAATTTGAAAAGTAATGGGCACTGTGTGTTCAAGGCACCTCATATACTCGGCCTGCTGATAACGCTTGTGGACTTGTGAGCTGTGCGTTAATTCCAAACCATCTCAGGATGGAGATGTGGACAAGGTGAAAGGAGAAACTGCTGACCTGGACTGTTACTGTTTCCCCATCTCTCTCAGTTAATGACTCCCTCCTCTGCGTTTTCTCTATGCATCTTTTATAGCCTTAGGAGATAACTGGTGCTTTGGACCTGTGTGCTCCTTCCCATCTGTAGGCCGTAATTCACTATCTAAGCACTTAGCTGTGATTTGTGTCTCATATGCACTTGAAGCTGCTTGTGGTTAAGTCAGAATTCCTGTGGAGCAGACCAACATATGTCTTCTCAGAACTTGGATAAAAATATTTATGGGTGTGCTCAGAGCAGGGGGCCAGAAGAATGGCTTCTCTGTTTACAACACACCCAAGAAGAATCTGGGGCCATTGTGATGAGGGACACAAGCACGGTTTCCTCTCAGCGAGCAGATCCCCACATGCGACTCCCCTGTTCCTCCACATGACTTCCAGGCAAAAGCTGTGGGCCAGTACTCAGTGTCGGGGGGGGAAAAAGGTTCCAGGGTTTAGTTGGGCAGACGGCTGTCTCTAGCATAGTCGGTTCATGTGTGGGTAGTCCGTGGGTGGTTAGGAATAAAGACTGGACTGGAATTCTCTCCTCTCACCACATGGGATCCCCAGGAGTGAGTGCTGTCTCCAGGCTTGGACTTGACCTTTACCATCCGAACTGTCTTTCCCTCCCCAAACTTTTCTTAAAAGGGTGGGGGGAGGCTAAAGGTACCTGCTACCAAGTCTGAGGATCTGAGTTCAATCACTGGGACCCAGGAGGTAGAAGGCAGGAACTGACTCCTATTCCTGAAAATTGTTCTCTGACTTTCATACATGCACTTTGGCATGCATAAGTATGATACACACACACACAAATACACAAATACAAGGAGACACACAGAATAAATCAAATGTAATAAAAAGTTTAAAAGTGTTCATTTCTGTAATACTTTTAGTTTAGTTTAAGTTCATAAATTTCCTGCATACTGTTTCTGTCTTGCTTTATATTTAGGCAGTGAGGTGGGGATGGCTAGAAATTGGTCCTGACACACTGAGTGATATGCTATGAGTAGAATGTCGACTTTGAGCAGAGGGGTGTGTGTGTGTGTGTGATTCATCACACAGATAGGAACTCAAAGATTGAGCTGTGAAGACAGCTAGGAGTGCTTGGGAAGGAGGCTCAGGTACTGCTCAGTGTGATGCCCTGGGCATTGCTTAGATAGGTTCTGACCACTGTGTCAGAAAGCTATTGGCCTGTCGCATAGAGGTTTGTCTGGGACAGAGCATAGGAAGATGAGTTTCTTTTCTTTTCTTTTCTTTTCTTTTCTTTCTTCCTTCTTTCCTTCTTTCCTTCCTCCCTCCCTTCCTCCCTCCGTCCCTCCCTCCCTTCCTTCCTTTCTGTTTGAAACAGGGTTTCTCTGTGTAATAGCCCTGGCTGTCCTAGACTTGCTTTGTAGGTCACCCTGGCCTCAAATTCACAGAGATCCTACTGCCTCTGCCTCCCAAGTGCTGTGATTAAAGGCGTGCACCACCAGAACCCATCAGGGACTAGCCCCGGCTATGGCCAGATTCCACAAAGGAGATAAGTGAAGGAGGAGTGAGTCAGGCACAGAGGTCAGGGGAAGCCTGCATCCTGACCGACTGGCAGTCAGAGTGCTTCTTTATTTATACTGAACTCAGTAGGCAGGGGTAGATTCATGTTGTTCCAAAACATAGAGGGTATCATTTTGTCCTTAGATGCTTGTTTTCACTTCCTTTTGGTCATAAGTTTAGTCACCATTGATAAACTGTGACAGAGCAGAGTTATCTTTACAGTTTTCTTCATCAATCCCATAACCCAACTTTTACAGTCTTGTGGTTTCAAGGGCATTAGACGGAACGAAAATCTCCAAGCCAGCCTGGGCAGATTGCCATTTCCCAAGCAGTGTATTATCTTTTAATGGTCAGAGTGCTAGTTGTCATTAGCCCAAGAAAAAACTTTCAGACCAAAGCTTCTGTAGTTATTACTCAGTTTCTGGCATAATACAATGTTTATGTTTTATGTATTTATAGAATTTATTTATATGTCTAATCTTGGTATTCTTTTTTTCTTTGTCATAGGACATCACAGTGGTCCTACATGAGCTAACTTTTCTAAGAAAGGGAGGGGGTTCTTAATACTTTATTTTTTAATCATTTATTCATACCATTCTTTGTCCATCATTAGTAGTAAGAGGCTTTTAATGTGATCTGCTGCCAGATCAAACTTCTCCAGCCAACTGAATCTTTTTTTTTCTTGCATTATCTCCTTCCTTCTTTCCTTCTTTGCTTCTTTCCTTCTTTCGTCCCTCCCTCCTTCCCTCCCTCCCTTTCTTCCTCCCTCCCTCCCACTTTGTATCCCGGCCATCTCCTCCTAGTCCCACCCACTTTCCCTCTTCTCCCCCTATGCCCCTCCCCTAGTCCACTGCTAGGGGAGGACCTCTTCCCCTTCTATCTGACCCTAGCCTCTCAAGTCTCATCAGGGCTGGCTGCATCATTTATTTATTATGTATACAGTGTTCTGCCCAAATGTATGCCTACAGGCCAGAAGGGGGCACCAGATCTCATTATAGGTGATTGTAAGCCATCATGTGGTTGCTGGGAATTGAATTTAGGACCTTTGGAAGAGCAGCCAGTGCTCTTAATCCTTGAGTCATTCCTCCAGCCCCCAGCCCACCGAATCTTGTTTACCTTTTTAAGTTTACTTTGTTCTGATTATCGTGTTCCTGAGTAAGTGCAGGGGCAGATGTTCCAAGAGTATCTTGGAGAACAGCCTCATAAAGAGGTCTTTGGCCTCTTTGAGTCACAATCTCCAGGGTGCAAGGGAGACCTTCAAATAGGCCAGATAAAAGCAGAAGAGGATAGTATGCTCAGGACCTTGCTGGGGAAGCTTAGAAGCAGTACTTTTGGAAGACGGCATAAATGATTCATAAAAGTTGCCTTAAATCCAATATTTCAAGTAGTACAAATATCAAAAGCCCCCCAAATGTGCAACATGTGGGGGTCAAGACCAAAAATGAAGGATAGCACAAGGGCGATTGCATCATAAGGCTCAGCTGTGCTGGCTTTATGACTTTCGCTCTTTCTGTTAGCTATGGCTGTGCCAACACCTAAAAGAAAAGCTCTAGGAGAACTTTTAAAATGATTTCTTTCTTTATTTTTTAAATTGAAATGTTTTAGATTTACTTTTAATCTTATGTATGTATGTGTGTGTATATGAGTATGTACATGTGTGTCAGGTCTCCCTGGAGCTGGAGTTACAGGCAGTTGTGAGCTGCAGTGTGGTGCTGAGACTCAAAATAGGTCCCCTGGAAGAGCAGTAGGTACTCTTAACCACTGAGCCTCTAGGGCCTCACTATGTGGCCTAGTCTGGCTTTGAACTTGGCAGAGATCTGCCTCCTGAGTACTGGTATTAAAGGTACCAGGCAAGACAGAATTTTCTAAAAGATATATTTTTCCTGAAGGGATTTTTGGGGTACCCTACCCCAGGACCTCCCTCTAGAATTCCTGGACATGTCATAAAACTCTTCCTGCTTGCTTCTAGCTAGGGGCCCTTACCATGACCTGCAAACTTTCTCCACTTAATAGGTGAAGAAGAAAAGATGTACAGAGAGGTGTCATGAATGACTGAGTGAGAAGGCAGGATTTGACCCTGCCTGGTCTTCTGATTCTTAATCCAGGTCCCTTTGCTCTCTGGAAGACACTGTACGGTATCTTAAGTTCTTGTGAACTCTCACTGTGGAGGATTTAGGATTTAGGATTTTAGGATTTATTCTGTCACATTGATGTTGATTGCTTAGAAGCATAATACGTGTGTGTGTGTGTGTGTGTGTGTGTGTGTTATGGATGGATGGCTCTGATTATACACTTAAAAGAGGCTCTAAGCCATACACGGAGCATGACTATAATCCCAGTATACAGACGGTCATCACAAGTTTGTGGCCTATCTGGTCTACGCAATGAGTACCAGGGCAGCCAAGGTCTGCACTATAAGACATTGTCTCAAAAAGAAAGGAAGGAAAGAAACGCAATCTGCAGAGGCACGCCAACACATAGTTCGTCACCCACAAGGAAGAGACTAAATTCTAACTCAACTCTGATGGAAAAAAACAAAACAAAAAACAAACAAACAAAAACAAACCCTGTCACATTTCACAGACAAATGGGGAACTAGTGTTAACTGGGATTTATGGAGGGTTGCAGTGTGGTGTGAGAACAAATTTTACACAGGAGAAAAGCAGGTGCTTAGAGAAGCCAGGAAGTGCAAAGCTTCTTTTCTTGTCAAGTGATTAAGTTGGGATTCCACTGCTGTCTTAGCTTCTGGAACCCTGACAGTGTCTTACTGGCTACAGTCAGTCCTCAGTGCTAGGTGAGCTGTCCTGCAGCCCCCCAAACACACACACACACACACACACACACACACACACACACACACACACAACAGGTTGGCTGCCAGCTTGCTGACCATGCTGAAGCCACCTGTTAGCCAACTGTCAGATGAGGTGGCTAAGGTCCCCAATTACATCCTTATCAATCTTTTATTTGAATTTGAAAGACATAGTGTGCTCACTTGTAATTACGTTGGTTAAACAATTGCTTTATTTCAGTGAAGAAAACATTTGGAAGCTCTGTGAATACATCAAAACCCACAACCAGTATCCCTTGGAAGAATGTTATGCTGTCTTCATATCAAATGAGAAGAAGATGGTAAGTTGGTAAGTGATGACAGAAGGAAAATGAGATTTAGGGTGGCCTCAGAAGCTAGGTGCAGTCGGGATGCTATGCTATTCTAAAATGTGCTTTGCAATAGCAACCTTTTAAACATGAGATTTGGTGCAGAAGAATTCAGTCCCTTACTTGTAGGTGGCAAACTTTGTGATGGCGTGCTCCTCCCTTTCTTTTTGAGATAATGTCTTATCGTGCGGACCTTGGCTGACCTGGGACTCACTGTATACAGCAGACTGCCCACACACTGTGGTGACCTTCTGAGTACTGTATTATAGGCACAGTGTATTATAGTATTATAGGCACACTCCATATATAGTTTACAGCTTTTTTAATTGTATAATTAAAGCCATATAACTCAGACTTGAAGTAAAGATTTGTCTCTGAAGTATGAAGCATTAGAAGTAGCCCTTTGTGTTATAAAGGGCTTTGGCAGGCATTGTCTCATTTGGGGGTCATAGAAGTTCTTTGACATATAGGCAAGGTTTGGGCCAACTTTCTCCATTTTCTTTTATTGACTTCACTTCTGTTTTGGAGGCAGGTCTCATGTTACCTGTGCCCTTTTAGCCTTACACTCCTTATGTAGCTGAGGCTGGGATTACAGGCAGGCACTGCTGCTGTGACCTTTTTTCTCCAGTCAGTAGGTAAAGAGGGAACGATACAGAGAGGTCCCATGAATAATTGAGTGAGAAGGCAGGACTTGACTCTGCCTGCCCTTCTGACTCCTAATCCAGGCCCTGCACCCCAGACAACACTGCTCTACTCTCACTGTGAAGGATATTTAATCTTAGGAGGATTTGGACTTCTTTCCTTCATGTTGATGTTGATTCTTAGAAACATAAATGCTTTTGATGTTCAAATTTAATTTAGTTAATTAATTTATTTTTTTTCTGAGATAGGGTCTCACTATGTAGCCCTGGTAGGCCTGGAACTCACTGTTAGACCAGGCTGGCTTCAGATTCACAGAAAACCACTTGCCTCTGCTTTTGAGTTTGGGATTAAAATCAGCTTGGCTGAGTTTTTGGTGTGTGTGTGGGATTGGTGTTAATGTGTATGGTGTTTTACTTACATGTATGTCTGTGTACACTGTGCCTACAGAGACCAGAAGAAGGGATTGGATATCTTGCAACTGGAGTTACAGTATTTGTTAGCTGCCATGTGGATGCTGGGTACAAATCCTGGGTCCTCTGAGATGGCAGCAAATGCTATAAGCCGCTGAGCCATCTTTCTAGCTCACTTAGGAATAGTTTATTACTCAGCAATGTACTGGGCTCGAGACTCTGGAAGGATTTGAATGAAACTCATGGATGTCCTATATTTTGTAGGTACCTATCTGGAAACAGCAGGCAAGACCTGGGAACGGACCTGTAATCTGGGTAAGATGGCCACCTAAGAGCCTCTGACGAACTGTTCCTTGTGGCCTCTGAGTGATCAGTATGGTAAAGCAGATTGAAGGGATGCGATAGAAAAGCTATGACAGTTATTAATGAAAGGGTCTTTTGAGACTAGATGTTATTCTGTCTGTGGTAGAAGCACGATGGACATATATTTTCCTAACTTTTTGTTTGGGTCCTGTAACGGTTTGTGTATGAAATGTCCCCAACAGGCTACAGTGTTTGAATTCCTGGTCCCTAGCTGGTGATGCTTTTTGTGAGTTTGTGGAACTTTTTTAAGACCCAAGGCCTAGCTAGTAGAAATGTGTCCCTGGGAAAGGGCCTTGAAGGTTGTACCTGCTTCTAGTTATGGCCTGCGTTCTCTTGTTCGTTGCCTCCTGGCCTGTTTTCATGTGAGGAACAATTGCCTCATAATCCTGCTGCCATAATGCTTGCTCCCATCATTATACCTTCGCCTTAGGGTTGCTAGACTGTAGTCTCAGAAACCATGAGCCAAAATAAACATTTCCTCACGTTGTTTCTGTCAGGCCTGTGGTGCTAGAGCAGAGAGGTGTTGACTAGTACAAAACTAGTACTGTGCTAGGGAACCTGAGCCATCTCTCCAGCCTAGTCCTCTCTTTTTTAAAGATTTAATTTATTATTTGTTTTTGCGTATGTGTGCCCGTGTACAGCAGGTACATGCAGAGGTGACAACACATCTGCTTTGTTGAGGCAGAGTCTTTTGGTTTGTTTCTGCTTCTTTTCAAAAAGAAAAATAAAGGTTTGTGTAGGTGTGTCTGTCTGTCGTCTTTTGCTCCTGCTGCTGTGGTACAAGCTCTAGGCTCCCTGGCATGTGAGCTTTCAGGCCTGTTTGCACCTCCCATCTCACTGGAGGAGTCCTGGGATTACAGATGTTCAGCGCTACATCCATAGGTTGTCTTGAGTTGGTTCCCGGAGTTGAAGTTGAGTTGTCAGGCTTTCGTGCCCAGTTTCTTTTCCTAAGTCATCCTTGGCTCAAGATTTAGTATTTTTAACTAAAATACTAGGTAAATCCTAGGTAAATGTGACTAGCAATTGAAAAACAGGGCTGTTGTGGTGGAGGGGAATGTAAAGCTCCTCAGGCCAGGGGATGGAGTGGAGCTGTTAGCTCTTAGCTCATCTGGAGGGATGGAGTGCACTTGATAGATGGTGTTTCTGCTTTCTGTAGTTGGAACTGGAGCTGAAGGGAGCATTCAGTAGACACTGTTTGTTGTGTTGATGATCTTTCCCATCTCACAGGGAAAAGGATTAGCATGTTGAGTAAATGGTGATGTGCTGTAAGAAAGTCAGGTGCTGTTAGCGTGACTTTAGACCGAACAGTTATTTTGGTGCATTGTTTCCACAAGAACACTTTTTCCTGTGTTTGAAGAACCAGCGTATGTTATATGTCCTTTGAGAATCCTGCATCCTCCTAGCCATCAGCTGGTGCTGGCAGTGCAGTGTCTGAGAGTAACAGGTCCTTTCTGTAACAAGGCAGGGCCATGGGAGTGGTCTTTATCCTTCTCCCTTATTGGCTGTTTTGTTTTTGCGCTTTTCTTTTTTAGTTTTAAATTTTTTATTAGAAAAAAATAATAAAAAATTGAAATTAGTGTCCTTCTTTGGAATGACCTCAGGGAGACCCCAATGTTAGTAGTTTGGAGGGTCTCCCACTGTAGCTAACACATGACATGAATCACCATAGAGGGAAGGTTTACTTTGTGTTCAGTTTCTGGCTTCATCCATGATCGCTTGCCTCTATTTGTGCCTGTCATGAGGCAGGGGCACATGGTGGAACAGAGCTATTTGTCTCACAGCCAAGGAGAGAGGAGGAAGGGACTGGGCTCCCAGTATCTCCTTCAAGGATAAACCCCCAGTAACCAGAGAACTTCTGACTAGACTTCACTGTATTTGTTTTTAAGATTTCAGTATGTAGTTCTGGCTGGCCTGAAACTCTACATGTACATCAGGCTGGCCCTGGACTCACAGAAACCCACCTGCCTTTGCCTCTGTGCTGGGATTAAAATGCACATCCCATCTCGAAGCCTCCACTACCTTCCTAGTGCCACGCTGATAATTAAGCCTTTAACATGTTGGTTTTGGGGGACATTGAAAGTCCAGAGTGTAGGAGATAGCTTTGTAGACTTCTGCCTCTGTGTGTATGAATGAGTGTATGCTTCTGAATGCCCATGTGTGCCTTTACATGATCAAACTTTAAAATGTAATACAAAATACACCTGCGTCCTGTAATCAGATATTCTGTTCAGCTACAGAAAATGGGATGTCACCTAACAGTGGTTCAAACACTGTCAATGTTTAGGCGTTTTCCAGCCTTCAGTGTTGCAGGGTGTGTGTCTTACTATCATTTTGTTTTGCGTTACAAGGAGGGTGGTGTGAGCCCAATAGCGCCAGTGCTTGTGCACTGGTCCTGTACTGTTGGAACTGACTGTCCCACACCAGCTGGGTTAACCTCAGTGATTGTTATTCCTAGGATTATCATGTCGTTCTGCTTCATGTGTCACGTGAAGGACAGAGCTTCATTTATGATCTTGATGCTCTCTTGCCATTTCCCTGCCCTTTCGACATTTACGTAGAAGATGCCCTTAAGTCTGATGATGACATTCATCCACAGTTTAGGAGGTGAGGAAATTCAGTACCCAGTTACTGATTTTCTGAAGTAGGGATTGGTGATTACGAAGAAATGTTTTCTACCTCCTTTTCCTCTCCCTTTCTCTCTTTTTCTTTGTTCTCTCCTCTTTTCTCTTCTTCCTGTTTTGTCTGCATCCTCCCACATCTGCACTATTGGTGTGCTTTTTATATAAGACCTTAAGAGCACCTTAAAGCTTTAAAGGCTCATCATACAAAAAGTTGGTGGTGTTATAAACATTAGCTTAATGAGGGCCGGCCAAGCCTGAGGACCTGAATTCCATTCCTAGGAGCCATGTGGTGGAAAGAGAGAATTACCCCCAAACACACACACAAATTCACACTCAAATAAGTTTGTTAAGAAGTGAGCGTGATGAGATTCCCAACATTATCTTTCAAATGTATTGAGGATTTTTCTCATTTGCTGGAGTATGGCTAGAGAATGGCTAATGCTGTCAAAATCAAGAAAGACTCTACGCCACAACAAAATTTCTACCCCTTGCCCCTGATGTACAATTGATTAAATAAAAGTAGCTGGGTAGATTTACTTCCTGTGCTTTCATAGCTTTGTGTTTCAATCATTTCCTTTGGCTCATTTAATCAGCCACATACACGTGTGTGCATTAGTATCAGTGTAAAAGCTCATGAGTAGTCTTGTGTGTATCATAGACGTGAGTTAGAGTGCTGGCTGTGATGCCTCCCTGATAGAAGTAATGTTGATTTATCTGCAGGAAATTTAGAGTGGTTCGTGCTGATTGCTACTTGAAGAACTTTGCCTCTGACCGGTCTCACATGAAAGACTCCAGTGGGAACTGGAGAGAGCCTCCTCCGGAGTACCCCTGCATTGAAACTGGAGGTGAGCCATGGATGTCTTCCGTTTGTTCGGTTTGTTTCGGGTTTTTTAGGATAGGGTTTCTCTGTGTAGCCTCCTAGACTTACTCTGTAGACCTGGCTCGCCTCGAATTCCCAGAGATCCACCTGCCTCTGCCTCCCGAGTGCTGGGACTAAAGGCTTGCTGTGCCACCACTGCCTGGCTTCCCTTAGTCAGCTTTTGGATCAGCTCCCTGAGTTGTGAGGGTAAGTGAGAACAAGCACTCGGCGAGAATAAGTGCTGGGGAACAGAAGCCATGACAGCAAACTGCTCCATTACTGGATACGTTTGCAGGGACTCTGGCATCACCCCTTGTCACATAACAGCGGTATCAGGAGCACATTGCCATGGTGGGGCTTCCTGCTCTGGGAAAAGAAACCCCCATGCATCCTTCTGATTTGTGAAGTGTCATTTGAGTAACCCTGTAATAAAAGCTGCCTTAAGAGGGTTGTACCACAGCACTCACCTCCTAGGCAGCAGTCCAGCTGAGAGTGCCTTGAGAGTAAAGAATATAGCAGGCTGTTCACCTTTAACCATTGCTCAGCATTCATATGCTTTTGGAACATTGTCTATGATTGTAAGCCACTCACAAGATTCCAGTTAGGGTGAAGTCACCCTATCATGTGGCTAATGCACTCTGTAGGCTGTGCAGGATTCTGCAGAAACAGGGCAGGTGTGTCACTAGCTCAGAAGAAAGCAAAAAATATCTGGCACATTTGAAGGGGGTGAACCCTTAAGGGTTCTGACTGAGTTTTGAGTTTCTAGGTGAGGCTTTGAAATGAAAGAAATGACAGCAGCAACAACAAAACTGTGTGGTTGCTTGCTCATAGCTCATCTACATCCCTAGTTTCACACTAGAACCATGAAAGCTGTGTTAGAGGCGGCTTACCTCGACGTCTCCCGTGACTGGCTACGCAGGGCCGAGCCTGGGCACCGAGTGCCTTCGGCGGGAGACTGTGTGGATGTGGATTCTTGCAGCCTAGTACATGGTAGGTAATTTGCAGGCATGACTTTATCAGGACCTGGTGCTTTTTGGGTCAGTTGTTTGGCTTTGATGGCAGCTCATTAGGCGCCATTACCCATTTTTAGCTCAGCTTTAGTTAGCTTCTGCACAATAAAGGAAATTTATAATGTGAGCTGGGGAGATGCTTTGCTTAGTCAAGTGCCTGCCAAACAAGCATGGGGACCTGCGTTTGGATCTTCTCCCCGCAAGACAGAGTTTGTCTGTAGTTCCGGCTGTCTCTATAGACCAGGCTGACCTGGAGTGCAGATCTCCTCCTGCCTCTGCCACCTAAGCGCTGGGATCAGAGTTGTGTGCCAACACCTGGCTGAGTTTGGATCTTCAGCACCCAGTAGAAGCCAGCTGTGGTGTGCATGTTTTATCCTAGCACTGCAGGGGTGGGTCCCTGGAGTGGCCTGCGTGGGCCACTGAAGTCCAGGTTCAATGAGACACCTTCTCTTAATAAGGGGGAGAGCTACCAAGGAAGACACCTGATGTTGACCTCTGGTTTCTGGTGTGTGAATTTGTATGATGCACCTCCCCATACACACACACGTACAAACAGCCCTGCAGTGCCTATTAAGAATATTCTTTTGTCTGGGTGTAGTGGCACACATCTTTAATCCCAGCACTCTTGAGGCAGAGGCAGGTGGATCTCTGTGAGTTCAAGGTCAGCCTGGTCTACAAAGCGAGTTCCAGGACAGTGAGGGTTACACAGAGAAACCCTGTCTTGAAAAATAAGAATTTGGGAGGAGTTGAAGAGAAAGAATATGGTAAAAATACCTCATATGAAACTTTCAAAGAATAAAAAAAATTTTAAAGTACTTTTATTTTATTTTAAAATTTTTATTTATTATAAAATTTTAGGTATTTTTAGTTTTTTTAAATTAAAATATAATTATACTGTTTCTCCTTTGCCTTTTATTTTTTAAATTTTATATTTAGATTTATTTACTGTATATATCTGTTTTGCTTGTATGTATGTTTGTGTACCACATGGTGCCTGAGGAGATCAAATGAGGGCTCTTGAAGTTGGAGTTGTGAGCCACTTTCTGGGTGCTGGGACTCAAACCTGGGTCTTCTGCAAGAACAAGTACTTGTAATGGCTCCCTTTTGTGTGTGTGTGTTTTTAAAGATTTGTTTATATATCTATCTTATCTAGATATTTATTTATTTAGAAGAGGCATCAGATCCCTATATAGATGGTTATGAGCCACCATGTGGTTGCTGGAACTTGAACTCAGGACCTCTGGAAGAGCAGACAGTACACTTAACCTCTGAGCCATCTCTCCAGTCCCCCTAGCTCCTCCTTTTTATTTAGTTATTTTAGACAGGATCTAGGGTGGTGGCACACGCCTTTAATCTCAGCACTTGGGAGGCAGAGGCAGGCAGATCTTTGAGTTTGAGGCCAGCCTGGGCTACAGAGTGAGTTCTAGGATAGCCTGAGCTATACAGAGAAACCCTGTCTCAGACAAAACAAAACAAAACAAAACAAAACAAAAAAATGGACTCATTAGACAGGATCTCACTATGTATTCCTGGGTGACCTGGAATTTACCTTGTAGACCAGGCTAGTCTTAAACTCATAGACTTCTGCCTTCCTCTTTCTTTCCAGTGTGCCGCCATACCTGGCTTTTTGAAAAATAAAGAAAAAAATTGTTTAATTATGCATGCACCCTTTATACAACCTCTCATTTTATAAAATAATTTTAGGCTCCTAGAAAATTTGCTAACCAGGATGGAGTTCTTACGTTATCTTCCCTCAGATTCCCTTTTTAAAAAAATTGTATATTTATTTTCATTTTTTAATGCATATGGGAGTTTTGTCTGCATTATGTAGGTAAACTGTGTGTGTCCAGCGCCCAGTAAGAAGAGGGCATCAGAGCTCCTGGAATTACAGATGGTTGTGAGCCACAATGTGGGTATTGGGAATTGAGGTCCTCTGGAAGAGCAACCAGTGTTCTTAACTGCTGAGCCATCATGCCACCTCCTTGGTGTTAACCATAGCATAACCACAGAAAGAGGAAGAAGAGAGCGATGTAAAAATACTGCTATGTTACATAAAAATATTAATGATAATACCATGAAGTTTTTCAGGCTTCTCTTTTATTTCCTATTTATGGTGCAGAATCTAACTCAGGGGTGTGATATTTCGTTGTCATGCCTTTTGTTGTCTTTTGTTTTTGTTTTTGTTTTTGTTTTTGAGACAGGGTTTCTTTGTGTAGTTTTGGCTGTTCTGGCCTCCATTTGTAGATCAGGATGGCTGTGAACGCACAGAAATCTGCCTGCTTCTGCCTCCCTGAGTGTGGGGTTACAGGCGTGTACTGCCACTCCCAGCTGTCATGTCTTTTCATTTCCCCCCAGTCTGTGACAGTTTTCTTTCTTTCTCTGTTCTTGTACAACCTTTGTATTGTGAAGACTTCTGGCCATTACTCGCTAGAACTTCTCTCCATAGGCTGATGTGATACTATGTCTTGAAGAGAAGGCTTTGTGTTTGAGGCAAGAACATAGCAGATGTGATTTTGAACTCCTGTTCATGTGAATGGGTTCCTCACCTCTTAGGTTTCTGGGTTCTTCTGTTGCTGCTAACTTGCAATTTGTTTCAGCAGACATCTCTTTCCTCTTCTTTTCTAGACTCCAAAATGAACCTGAACGACTTCATCAGCATGGACCCTGAAGTAGGATGGGGAACTGTCTACACAATGTCTGAGTTTGTACATCGGTTCAGCAGTAAAAACTACTGAGCCTCATGCCAGTTCTTGTGGAACTAGAGAAGCTCTAGGATATGAATAAGCCATCCTTCTATTTAGTAGAACAGCATGGCACAGGCAGCTTAGAGGTATATTTTAATCATTAAATGTGATGGGAAACATTAATGAAAACAGAAATGAATGAGTAGCCCCCCCAACCCCAGTTTTTTTTTTAAGCTTGGGCTCTACCCCAGAGTACTATCTCCAATCCTAAATCAGTTAGTCACCAGCCTCAGACATAGACACACAGCAAAATAAAAGCTTTCCTGTTGATACGCCACACGTGGTGCATGGTCGCTAAGATATTCCCATGGCTTAGTGGTTGAGATATGCGATGACCTAGGCCAGCAATTGCTTTTGTGTAACCAGAAGTGTAGACTTCAAGCCAGCTCCTTTTGTCTGCTCTCTCTCCTTCCTGTCTGGCTATACTCTAAACTCCTTGAGCACAGGGTTGTGGCCTGTGGCTCTAAGAATCTGTTGCCTGTTAGAGGTATCTGTAAAATGTTTCTAGAGACAGCTCTGCTGCTTGGAAAGGGACACTGTTGTGAGCTGAATCAGCTATCAGTATTAGTCTTTTTGGACTACAGTATTTAAAAAAGCTGCAGATATCTTCTGTGAGTGTTGTTTGGCCTGTTTATATACACAGTTTTAAATAAAACTGACTCAAAATTAATTTTGTTTGAGAAGAATTTGTGGTTTTCTTTTTTCGGCAGTGGAACTGGGTGGTGTTGATGATTGAATGTAAGGCCACATTGAATGTGTGGCAAGTACTGTGCCACTGAGATACACTCATGTCACCATTTTTGTATATATGTCCTTATGTGTGTGTGTGTGTCTGTGTGTTCGTGCGCAGTATAGACCGTTGATGCTGAGTGTCTTCCTCAATGACTGTCTACCTTACTTTGGGGGACAGGGCCTCTCACTGAACCTAGAGCTCACTGATTGTTCTAAACCGACTGCCAGTAAATCCTAGACTCCTCTTGTCTCTGTCTCCCCAGAGTAGGGGTTATAGGCACATGTTGCCTTTGCTTAGCTTTATATGTTGGGGTTTGACTGTAGGTCCTCATACTTATGTGGTGAGCACTTTAGCGACAGCCATCTTCCCTTGTCCCCTTTATGCCAGTCTCGATCAGAAATAACTACGAATGTCTCAGTCATAGATGAAAACCATTGCTTTAAAATACATTTAGCACACATGCACACATTTGGAGATGCCGTATAAATTTGACTTTAGTCATATAATTTTAAATAACAGTTTTGCATGAGAGACACATATAGTTAGGATGTCTCTGCTGTAAAGCTTAAAACAAAAAAAAATGTTTTTGAGACAGTCTTTCTGTGGAACATAGGCTTGCCTCATATTCCCTGTGTAATCTGGGCTGGTCTTGAACTCATGGCAGTCTTCCTGCTCCAGCATCCTGAGTGCTAGGATTCCATGCATGCTCTACCACACCCCACTCAGCAAGCAATTTCTTATATATAGTAAGTATGTCTGAGCTTTTGCTCTTAGATCAGTTTTCTACTTAAGGAGCTTTTCATTTGTCAGGATTCCTCTGCCACTTGATTTTGTTAGGTTAGGAAGTGTCATTTCTGCCATCAGGTCCATGTGTTTGGTATGATTCTGTTAGGAAGCCGTTGAACTCTTGTGTAAGGATACTTTGTGTGTGGGAGTAGGTAAAGGTGTATACATGGAGACCAGAAATCAGCTTCCAGCCTCATTCTTCAGTAACTGTCCAGCTTATTTTTTGAGACAGGGTCTCTCACTGGGACCTGGAAATGACTGCCTAATTCTGCTAGCCTGGCTGGCCAGCAAGCCCCAGGGATCTTCCCGTCTCTACCCCATCAGCTGGTATTACAAGTGGAGACTACCATACCTGGCTCTTAAAATTTTTAATTTAAGATCTGGAGAGATGGCTGTTATCAGTTGATAATGTGTTGTTCTTGTAGAGGATGTGAGTTTCATTCCCAGCACCCACATCAGGCAGCTCACAGCTGCCTGTAACTCCAGCTCCAAGGGATACTTACAACTTCCTCAAGTGTCCAGACACACACATACACACACAGGCATGCACACACACATAAATAATCAAGAAATGGTTTTCAGTGCCTGGAGAGATGGCTCAGTGGTTAAGAGCAGTGGCTAGCTCTTCCCAGGTTCAATTTTCAACACCCACATGGCAGCTCACAACTGTCTGTAACTCCAGTTCCAGACATACATGCAGGCAAAACACCAATGAACACAATAATAAAATTAAAACTTTTTTTCTGTTCAATTTTTTTTTTTTTTTAAATGTCGGTACTGGGGATTGGACTCAGTTTCTCTGGTTTGCAAATACTTTACTGACTGAGCCACCTTCCCAGTCCCAGAACAAGGCAGTTTCTCATTTTATCATTTTGTGCTAAAGTGGACCCCACATTTAAATATCTTCTTGGATATTTAAATGAACAAAGTTTTGTGGCTAAAACGAAGAAGGTAAGTTTTGGCATGCTGTCTCATAGAAATGCTTTACCCCAAGCAAAAAATACCAAGGCCCAGAGAATTGTACTCTGATTTATAGATTGCATTTTGGAAGGGCTGGCTTTTTCTTTTGGCCTATTTTATGAGCATGTGTCTAATATGGGCCTGAAAAGTGTAGGTCTAGGACAAGGACAACAAGATGGCTCAGTGGCTAAGGCCACTTGCAGCCTAGACCGGTGGCCTAAGTTCAGCCCCAGAACAAACATGGTAAAAGGGGAGGATTCACACATACACACTTTTAAAAAAAAGAAACAAAAGCTTGTCTATTACAGGTCAGATAATGTCTTTATGGATGTTTGGGCTTCCTAGTCACCTTGAAATTGAAGTTAGCCACCTTTATGGTGGCCAGTGTCAGGAGAAAATTTTTATGGCTTCAAGCCTGTAAAACTACCCCATGATCATAATCTTGATTCCTTAGAAACAACAGAAGACATCTGTGTTTTGTTTTGTTTTTGTTTTCTGTCCAGTACTCCTAAAATAACCTCACAGACTTTCCAGTATTCATTTCAGAGGTCCTGCTGGCCCTGGGTATAGGCAAATCACTTGATCCCCTTGAGCCCCACCCTGGATAAGTTTAAGAATGACCAGGTGTTCTTTGGATTCATTGGTATTCAGCGAGCAAGTCCCCTCCCTTGAAGTGCTAACTAGAGGTCTGGAGCCTTGGGTGTGAGTTGACTGCCAGAGGCCTGGCTGCAGCATGCAGGCTATGCCAGAAGGGCAAAGGTATTCCTCAGGCTCATCAGTTTCTGCTGAAATCAGCACCAGTTTTTGAACTTCCCAATTCTGTGAGCCAGTGGATCCCCCACCCTACTCCCCTAGAGCCCTGACTACACTTGAACTTGTGCCTCCCTTCCTGACCCTGCCTCCCAAGGATTTGGATTATAGGTATCCACCACCATGCCCAGCTTGATTCTGTCAGTTCTAATGGAAGCATGGGTTCCTTAGGAGTTCAACCAATTGATCTTTCTTCCTTTGTTTGCTTGTTTTGTTTTGTTTTGTTTTTGTTTTTGTTTTTTGAGATAGGGTTTCTCTGTGTAGCCTTGGCTGTCCTGGACTCGATTTATAGACCAGGTTGGCCTCACAGAGGCCACAGAGATCCTCCTGGGTCTGCCTCCGTAGTGGTGGGACTAAAGGCATTCACCACCACACCTGGCTCTCAATCTTTCTTATTTTCCCTCCCTCCCTTCCTCCCCTTATTTATTTGTTCTTCATAGTTGTCACTGTTATCAGCCTTAGGACTGCCTCCTGTGTGTTTCTATGTTAAGTTTTTCTCTGAGGTCATGTTGTTTTGCTTTGCTTTGAGTCACTGTACTACTCTGGAGCTCAGGCTGATGTAGAACTCACTATGTGGTCCATCCTGGCCTCAAATACATGGCAATCCTCCTGTCTCATAAGAGCTGCTGGGCTCTTATGTTTGAGTAGTGTGTCATTACTTCTGCATCACTGTCACTAAGCTACAACTTGGCAGTTTAAGGGAGGTCTGGGTACTGAATCTGAGTCCTCTGAAAGAGCAGTAGTACTCTTAACCACCAAGCCATATCTTTTTGGGTTTTTGTTTGTTTGTTTGTTTGTTTGTTTGTTTGTTTTGGGACAGAGTCTCTATCTTATTTAGGGTTTTTATTGCTGTGAGGAACAGCTGTTGGAATTATGGATGTGAGCCATCTTGCGTAGCTTGGGGTCAGGAAAGTCAAGCCCCCACTGTACTGGGTCTCTGGCCAATGCTGGTGAAGAGCTGCTGGGCTCTTATGTTTGAGTAGTGTGTCATTACTTCTGCATCACTGTCACTAAGCTACAACTTGGCAGTTTAAGGGATGAAGGGCTTTTTAGGCTCCTGGTTTCAGTGCGTCCTGGCCAAGAAGAGATGATGGATCAGGAAGAGAGGGAACAAGGTAGAAGAAGGAACACAGAGAAATGAGGGTGGAGATCAGACCTGGAGAGAATAGGGGCAGGAGGACAGAGGGCCTGCAGAGAAAAGAGAAACCCATGGGCAGAGCCATCTCTGAGACAAGCTGGAGACCTAGGACAGGGTAGGCTTCAGGAAGGATGTGGGGGTGACTCTAGCCGAGACTCCTGGTAGCAGAGGTCATGAAGAGGGCACTTTCTAACTAGACAGGACTTCTAGTAGAGGGAGGGGAACATGAGCCCACCCACAAAACTTTGATCCAAAATATGTCCTACCTAAAAGATCTTCAGGGATAGAGATAGAGCAGAGATTGAGGGAATGTCCAACCAATGCCTGGTCCAACCTGACACCCACCTCATGGGAGAGAGCCAAACCCTGACACTGTTAACGATGCTCTGCTTTGCTCGAAGACAGGAACCTAGCGTAGTTGTCCTCTGAGAGGCTACACCCAGCAGTGGATCCAAACAGATTTAGTTCATTCTGCCATTCTTGGTAAGCATCTAATTCCAGTCCCTGGTCAAAAACATGGATGTAAAGTCTCTTGACTTATGTCTTATGTCTTATACTGAGACTAGGTGCTCATGCACAGTTTTCTCCCTTTCCTTTAAGCTAAACATAAAGGCCAGTGTTGGAGGGTGAACTCCCTTTTACTCTCTTGGTCCACGGAGACTGTGGCTTTGCCCATAAGCTACAGTAGGTGTCTTGTGGAACAAGGGAGGAGTATTGGCAACATTTCACCTAGAGTCAATAGACAGTCTTTCCTGAGGTTTCCATGGGGACTCAAGGCTTAGAGCAATTTCTGGGATGAACATTTGAAGTGAATTGAAGGGTAGAATGTTAATACATTCATACTGTGCTGGCACACGTCTTTCCTGCTACTGTGGATGATTGATGAGTCACTCTCCTTTCAGGGCCCATGACGGAGTGCAGAGCTTCATTTGAAACTTTGGGGCCAGATGCTGAGATCTTTACCCTGTACTCAGATTACAGGGGAGGGGGGAAAATCAGATTTCCGTCATAGCTCTCCATCACTGCATGATATTTGCTAGACTGGGAAACCTCTTGATCTCCCTGCACTGCCCCAGCTGATTGAGTTGTTTTGAGGCTCAAATGAGACTGTATAGGAGGGAAGAGGAAGGCAAGAGAGAGAGAAAGAGATTGGTTCATATTCCGAAAGGCAGTTCTTGTGTATTTGTATTTGTGGTTGTGTGCATGTTGTAAACATGTTTGAGTGTGTGCGCGCGCATCACAG